CATGTCACTTCTCTGTTTCAGGTCAGGTCCAGGGTATGTACATACAAAATGGGCAAACCTAGTCCCTCAGAAACAGTAATGGATACAGTAAAATAAAACGTCTTTGCTTTTGGTTAAAATAGAAGCTTGACAAACTGCTGAGGAGAGTTAAGAAATTCACAGGCTAATATGCTATGTAGGACACATGTTCCTTTCATACTGCTCCCGGCGTGTTCTACCCTTTGGAGCCAGAGACTGATTTTTTTCCTTGATATTTTAAATCCGAAGGATTCAGTCTTTAGATTGGGTATTCAAACTCTATGAAATCACAAACTGTATGTAGTTTCACAGTTTCCTTTCTACCTAATGAAAATGAAATTCACTGTTTCATTTTTATGGGGCTAGGCAGGATGGCAGTAGCTTCCAGCATATCACTAGGGATGAGTTAAAAATAGATTGCTCTTGAGGCAATGACTTATATGGTAGATAGTTGACAGGAGAGAAAAATTAAGTTAAATTTTGGGCTTGTATCATAAATACTCAATCTGAATTCCACTAAAGGATATGTAAGAAAAAAATTGAGATGGTTTTCATTTGAAGACGATAGCATAAACATTTAGTGTGGGTGTGCTGTTGAAATATTTTCTACTTAAAATTTAATGTGTAACAGTATGAAAATATTGTGACTTGTTGTTAGCTATGTTTTTGGTGGAGTAATAAGGCCAGGCTAGGTTATGGGTGACTAACCGTGTTAATAGTGATATTAGAGTACTTCAGCTCAGATCATAAATAGATCAGGGAAAGGTCAAGAATGAATTATGCTTTTCACTGTTACTATTAAAATAGTAAAATAGGTTTGGTAAGTTTTACAAACACCAGTAACTTTGAATGTAGATCATGAAAAGCCTTCATTATACTTACTTTTGCTTATTTACCATGCATAAACTTTTCACTGTCTGTTTTTCTCATGTTTGTGTTTTCTGGTAGCACGTAACATCAATAGCTACTATTAGCTTGCCAAAAAAAGGGAAAAAAGTATATATCAAATTGAAATAAGTTTTAACTGTTGCTCTGTTCCTTTTAGCTTGTATTACCCAGAGTTCTTCCATCCAGTGAGTTGCAAGCGTGACATTTGCTGTGTTTTCAGCACCTGCCAACTTGGAAACCAGGGTTTGTGCTCAGGACTTAGGCTTACAACCCACACTTTGTGGTGCACAATGCCGTCCCAGCTGGCAGGCTTCGTACCTCAATGGTGCTAGACGTTTGGTTACAAAGCTGTGCAGATTCGCATGCACTGATTTCAATAGGCATTCCGCTTCAGGCTGCTTTCAACTCTCATTTTGTATCAAAGGAGTTAGATTGGTATCATTAAATTCACTGCCGTGGTTGTTTTTCAATGAAGATAAATTTGTTTTATTTAGTTCTTGAATCAAAAAGTAACTGTCTTCAAGAGCCAAAGTACCTCTTAAAAAAGGTATGTACCTCGATACGGGAGATGCTGCTGCTCCGTCCATGTAGATGGATCTGCCTATATGAGAGATTCCAGCCAGAGTTACAATTCATTTTCATCAGTGGAAAGGTTTCAGAACACAATATGAAAAGGACAGAAAGGAAAGAACAGAAGGATTAGTGTGTCATCACATGCTTAGGTAGCTGGCTCATAGATGTGGGAACAATTATAGAACTTACTTTTCTGAATAAGAGCTGTATAAGAAAATTGTCCCTATCGTAGAGTCAGAATTTTGGCTTTCATCTCTAACCAAAAACTTTATGTGTTATCCAAAGTGATGTATTTTGCTAACTTGTTTCGGTAGCCAGTTTCTGTGAAAATGCTTCAGGTGGACTTGGTGATGTCTGTCTTCTATCATCTATTATAAGCAATTTTAAAAGGTTCTGCTTTATAAAAGATCTTTTCAGATTGAGAAAGGACAGTGTGAAATGTGAGTGACCGGCTTTTAATACAGCAGTCGTGACAAAGAGGCAGTGGCTTTTGGAAGCTGAATAAAGGGGTTAATACTGTGCTGTTGGGTCCAACGTATAGCAAGTTTGATGTTTGTTTCACTCACTTTATTCTGAAAAGAATACTACGTATTCTCAGAGGCAAATGAACTGCTTTATCACTTTCTAGTGGTGAGCTCTTTTTACAAGAATAGGCACACATAGATTTGTTGGGTAAAACTGAACAACGTTGACTTCAAAGCTTAGCTCCTTATTGCTTGAATATCACATTAATCTGGTTCTAAAGGCACAAAAATAAGATACCCGCTAACTACCTAGGACACTCCTTGGTGAGTATTAAAACCCAACCTTTAAATAAATAAATAAATAAAATCTTTAAAACCCAACCTTTACCCTCCCGAGCACAAATATGCTTAGGTGAATACTTGATTAGCTTGTTGATACAAGTTATAGTTGGTTACACCCTTTCTTAATAAAATACACCCTTCTCGTCTCCTATTGCTTAAGAACTTTACACTTGGAATAGGGGAGCTCTTTAGTACAGAGCGATGCTCAGTTTAAATTCTCCTCGGGAGTCTTGAGTAGACATGATGCACGCCATACACAAGCAGTCCTCCACGTGGTGCTTCTGCTTTGAGTGGAGCCAGGAGAGCCGTATTGCTGTGCTTTATCCCTGGGGTTCATGTATGGTCTTGGAATGCGACTGTAAGTAATCCCTACATTTTATATTTCCCAGGTGCTCGTGGTTTACCCAAGTTAGTGTTGTTGGTCAGTGATAATGGAAAAGTTACAAGTGATCGTTTTGGAATTATTTATGGATTTATTTCTAAATTGGCTTATTAATTTGTGTTTAGGTGCCTAGTTGTGCTCTAAATCTGGTTTTGATTTGGCTTTGACCTTTAAGGATTGAACAAAGGTAGACAGTTTAGCCCCCCCATCCCCCGATTGCAGCTTACGTTGCTTTACATCCAGAGTTTAACTGCTGAGTTTATATTTTTTAAATAATAAGTAACTATGTAGTATAAACCCTAAAAAGTGGGCTAAAGGACTTAACTCCATAATGTGGGAAGAACCGCATAATATGGAAGGCCAAGTGACACAGTCCTTATTGTATGTATTTTTTAGCCTTTGGAGATTTAAATGAAAGTACATGAGAAATAGCCATTCATTGGTTAGTAGCACAGCTTCTTAAGGAGATATTTTAGTTCTGTGCACTTGCAAGAAAGCCTCAGAACCAGAAAAACAGGCTGCTTTAGGTTGGAAAGGAGGTGTGCAGCAAAGAGCTTGCCATAACCACAATCCTTGGAATTTTGTGAATCTAAAATCATCCTGAAAGCAACAGGAATCATGGTTGCAATAATTGTCTCCAGGCTCTGGACAACCCCCCCACACCCACCCACCCCCTGCGTTTTGTTTCATTGACCCTATGAACTGGTAATTGTAGGACTAAGCTGAATGTTTGCCAGCAGGAGTCACTCTAGGCTTCCTAATAAAAAGTAAATTAAACTATATCCTTAAAAGCTCTCAAAGGCCATTGTGACACTGTGATAAGATGGCACTAAGGAAGTGTAGCAGCATTCTCAAATTATCCCTTGTGCTTTTATCTGTTTAACTTAGGAAGACTTGGTTCTCGTTCCTTCAAAATTGGCCTGTGATAAATTCTTTTAAAGCAATGTTTATGGATAAGGATATCAGTATCTTAGCATTCTGCCTATTAGCTCATTTTGGCGTTCGTGGGATGAATTGATTATATCGCACTTCATCTAATTGAATGAATAGACACATATCCTCCTTCTGATGGTTGTTCATCCTAATCTTGTAGAAGAAATCACTGGAGCTGGAGCTGGTATGAAAGGAGATGTTAGCTCATGGTTTTCTGAAAAAGAATGGGTCCTGTGTGATGGGAAACTGAAATATTTCAGCAATAGCCATGAAATATAATAGTTTCCCAAGTGCATAGAAGCTCAAGAAGTTAATTGTTCATTTATGTTTGATACTGGGATTGAAACATTGGATTAAAACCAATTAAATGTTCCTAGAAGCAGCAGAAAAAGTTTCCTGATTTATGAATAGAACCATTCAAATGGCGCAGACACAATCCATGTAAAGTAATGAGGTGTTTTGTTTTTTTGGCAAAGGAGAACACAAAACAGGCATAGGGGAGTTCTTTAAAAAAAAACAAAACAAAACAAAAAAAACCTTCTCTTTAAAAATCTCTTTGGGTACAAGGTCAATAAAATAACATACACTAGTCGGACCGAGCAATGGGAAATCTGGGACTTCACTTCACAAGGACAACAGTCCCCCTCCCCCAGGTGAGCAGTGCAATGAAAACACTCCGCCTATTCTATCAGGGTTACATTCCTGAACTTAAGTCAACATCCTAAGTTACAGAACGAAACATGCTCTGCGTCTGCTTAGCAACCACAAACCCTCCTTACCCAGTGGCGTAGATTTTGCATGTGGCTTCTGAAGTACACATTCCTTTATTTCCATCAGCGCCCCTAGTTGGGAAACTAGCGCTTTATTTTCCCAAAGTGTGACAACACTAACACAGCCCTCCCTCCTCTGCTGCCCAGCACGCCCCCGAAACGATCGTTTCTTTGAAACCTCAAAAAACCCAACAACCCGGAAGCTGGACGCCTGGAGTCCACGCGGCCCAAGGTTTTTGCCCCGGTTCGTGCGGGGGGCGGGGGAAGAAGCCTGCGGGACCCCTGGCTCCCGGCCCGGGCAGCCGCGGGGGTGGTGGCGGCGGCGCGGCCCGGGCCCGGGGCCACTTCCCGCGTCCCGGGGCCTCGCAGGCGCGAGCTCGGCGAGCGGCGAGCGGCGCGCGGCTCAGCCCGCAGGACGCCCTCTAGCCCCGCCGGCGGCGCGCCGCGACCCCCCCACTCCCCGCCCACCGGCGGCTGCGCGCAGTGCACACTCGCCCGCCGCCGCCGCCGCCGCCGCCGCACGCCGCCCGGCTCCTGCACGCCGCCGCCGCCGCCGCCGCCGCCGAGCCCCGGGCCCCGCGACGCCGCCGACAGACAGTCCGACCCAACGACACACAGCCGCGGTCCGGCGGTCCCGCGGCGGCGGCGGGCGCGGCGGGCGAGGGCGGTCTAGCCGGGGCTGGTTAAAGGGACGAGTTGCAAACAGTTCAGGAAGTGACAAGTCGATTTCCTCCTCCCTGGGAGCCGCTCGGTACAAAGCGCTCGGCGCCGGCAGGAGAGCGTGCGCGCGGCGGACGCGCGGCGGGCAGCCGGGACGACTTGGCGAGCGCCTGCGGCGACGGCGCGGGGCCGGCGCCCGGAGCGCCCCGTCGCGCACAGTAAGCGACACTGGGCCGCGCGGCGGCGGTGGCGGCCGGGGGGCCCGTCCCGAGCGGTGGTCCCTGCCGTGTGCACCGCAGCCTCGGGCTGGGGGGACCCCTCTCGCGCGTGTGCTGGGCTTGCCGTTTTAAGATTATTATTATTTTAAATATTGCTGGTTTCCTTTTTTTCTGCCTTGTTTCGCGTTGGGTCGAGTGGTTTATTGGGGCGCTGAGTGTCGCCCCTGGTGCAGGCGTGAGACTTGTCAGAGCGCAGCCCGGGGAACGAGCCAGACCGGCCCCTGCAGAAAAGTCTGTGCTTCCCCGGGGCGGGTGCAGGGACTGCTGTGCCGGGGGCGGGGGCGGGGGGTGTGTGTGCTCCTCTCCGCGTCTCAGCTTGAGCCCTGGCTCGCGGCCGCGGCGTAGGCGCCAGAACCCGGGGACCCGGGCGCCCCGGCTCGCCCCGAAGTTCCCGCACCGTTTGCAGACAACTCTTTTGTTCGCGGAAGTTTGCGTCCGCCACCCCCAGGATGCGGGCGCACAGCGGCTGGCTCCGCGGCTGCCGGACCGGCCGGGGCGGTCGCACTGGGGGTGAGGGGGCGTTCTGCCCTGGGCGGGGGAAGCCCGCGGGGTGGCGGAGGCGGGGGCTTGCGGAGTGGGGGGCGCCGGCGTGGCTTTGCACATGGCGTGAAGGGCCGTCCGGCACGGGCACACTGGTCGAGTCACATTTTTGCCAGTCCTTGATTGGCAAGCCTGTGGGAGTCAGTTTTCCCGCTGGGAGTTTCTCTTGCTGGGGCAGGGACGAAGGAGGCCAGGACACCCAGAGTCCGGGGAGGGCCCTCGGTTTGCGTTGCTCCAAGGGGCTTCTCGGGCACCCCCCAGCTCCCCACCCCCGCCCGCAGACTTGGGGAACAATGCTTGTGGCGCGGGACAGAGCGGCGGAGCGCGGGGGAATCGCGCGAGCTGGCTTGCTCGGGTCCCTCGCCCCCGGAAGCCCCCTGAAGCCCGGCTCCCTCCATCTGACCGCCGGGGTTCATTAACACGTACAGTACTTCGTACGATGGTGAACAAAGAACAGCTCTTTGCAGCATTTGATGAATGGGATTCTGCCTCCTATAGGCCACACTCCGAGTCTTCCATACGTTACAGCCTCGGGACTCGGTGGTGGTGGGCGAGTGGCCCCTCCGGTGGGCTGCGTTCCGGTCCCGGGACCCTAGGCCGGGGCATGGGTGCCGCCGCCGCCGCCGCTCTCGTCTTGCCGGAGCGGGTGCAGATGGAGCCAGGCTGACGGTTGTTCAACAGGAACAAATGTTTGTTGAATTGTTGGATGGCGGAGACAAGGGACTGTTTTCTGTTGACTGCTGCAGGAGTTGGAATGGCATTGTTTATTGGCCTGGGAAGCCAGGCAAGCGTCTTGAGCTGCTTACAACGCATCAGCAGACTTCCAAATGACATACTAGCGTATGTGTTCCCAGCGCTTCCCACAGGCTGGAAGGGGATCCCCTCTTGCTCCAGATCCTAGATTTGGTTGAAGGATGTCACCCGCTTTGAGAACTTGGGAAGGAATGGAGTTAGCAGAGGGGGCGAAACTCACTGTTGCTGATTTGGCCAGGTTTTAGTTTCATTTTAATTTGTCCACTTAGCAGTAACTTGTCTCAGTTACACTTTTGATACTGAATTGCAGATCTGTGGGGTTTTGATGTTCCCCCCCCCCCCCCCACCCCCAGCTCTGGACAGCCAGATAAGCAGAAAGCAACTATTTGTCCCCATTGATAGGCCTGTTTAGTGGGAGAAGAAGGTTTGGGTTTAAAGGTTTGGGCCTTTGGCCCGGTGTCTGCACTTGGCTGGGATCTGGATGCTGCCAGCCATCCTGCAGACCCAGCTTCTAGGGGGTGGTTCAGTCTAGGAAAGGAAGGAGAGGCTTGGGGCAGGTCTGTGCCCCGCCCCCCCCCATGCTCCTCCAGAGAACAAGGTGGCTTTAAGACCAGTTCAAATCATTTTGGCCAAGAGCTCACTCTTTTCCCCTGAGAAGGTAATATTGATATGCACCCATTTTAACCCTGAAGACAAGGTTTAAATAAGACAAATTTTAAATAAAAGCTAGCAGTACTGGTCGCTGCAGAAGTGGACTCGAATTCCTAAGGCTGGCGGGACAAGTAGAGCATTCCACGATTGTGATTGATAAGGTTCGTAGTCAGTTTCTCCCTTCTGTTTTCAATTTAGGGTAAGTTGTGCCCCTGGTAGCATTTTGGAAGTTCATAAAGTTCTTCTAGGAAGAGCTTTAAGATACCTTATTGTCGTCCTGGTGGGCTCTCCTTCGTTGACATTTTATAGGAAGCCCTGTTGGTATTTTTTAGGCTCTTTCTCTCCATACCTTTCATCTTTCTCTGTCTCCCTGTGGGTTCCTTCACTGTGTCCCGGCCGCCTTCTCCCTAGTTCTCTGGAAGCCTCATGGGCTGCATGTCCTTTAAGCGGGCTCAGGGGGCAGGCACCTACCCCATGGTGGGAGCTCAGAAAAGGCCAGCCAGCTCTCTTCCCCCGCAGGAGATGGGAGAGGAGGGAGCCTTGTACACCCTGGAGCTGGCAGCAGAGGACGCCTTGGAGCAGCCTGGTGGTGTCCGTTTTGCAGTGCTCTTTAAGCAGTTGGCCCATCTCACCCCTGCTTGGTGCAGGGGGCCCTGGAGACGAGCGCCGGACCCACGTTGATGTTTTATCTGGGCGAGTGTGACTTTCTTGGAACTGCACACCGTACGGAAACTTTTTTTGTTCTCGCCCTTAAGAAAGCCTGAAATAAGCAAATACTCAGACCCGCACAACTGCCATCAGTACCCCCCACACCTCTCTGATGTGTAATAAAAGAAACGTGCAGGCATAATTTGTTATGTAATATGCTGATAATACAAGTTTCGGTTTTTAGATGGAAACCAGATGTGGAGGGGCTCTCTTTAATTGATCCAGCAAGGGGGGCATGTTAATAGATTGACTAGTCCTTGCAATCCCCGAAAGTGATTTTTTTTTTCCACGTCAGGGGAGAATCCTTAATGTAGGACTTTTTTGAGGTTTTTTTTTTTTTTTTTCCCCTCTCAGCTTCTTGCTTTGCTTGCAGCTGTCCTTTTTGTCAGAGTCTTCCTCTCTTGAAAGAGCCGGTTTGTTGCCAACATGAAGCACATGGCCGGGTCTGGCTGGGCTCAGCGCAGCTTAACTCTGCTGGGCTCCATGCTCCTCCTCGCCTTGTCCAGCTGCTGCCCTGTCCTCCGCCCTGCAGAACAGGGCCTGGCTGAGGGACTTGCGTGCTGCAAGGAATGTTGACTGGCCTCCTTCAACTCCTTTCTGAAATGTCTGATCGTCCGGGGAGAGCTGCTGTTTAAACTTGTCCCATGAATTCACTTTCCAAAATCATTGACTCTCCTCTGATTAATTTCTGTGTTTGTTTCCTGCCTTACTTTATGAGGGTTCTTTCTACATGGCTGAGTCACCTTTATTATGGCCCAGGGTCGGGGACTGCACTGTAATAGCTGACCCCGTTAACAGCAGTTTCATTGCGTGCTGGGATGTGAGCTCTGGAAACAAACCCAGAGGCTTAGATAACGCTGATGTGCCCGGAGACTTGCTTAGAAAATTTTTGTTTTAGCGCAGTTTACATTAACATGATTAATGACCGCGCCACTGAAAAGTCTATATTCAAAAGCAATTTACGGTTCCCTAGGGTTCTTCTTATGGTGAAGTAATTTTCTTTGCTAAACAACTTTGTTTTAAGGTAATTTCTTCTTTGATGTTTAATCCAAACCTCCTGTGCACACAGTTTTGGATCAAGGCTTGGGCTTCGAAAATTGTGCATTGTGGTTTTGGTGGTGCCCTGTCTTAACCTTCCCGAACTCGGGTCGGAGGGCACCCAGATCCTTGATTTAATAAGAAAGCTCTCTGAGATCCGAAGCAGGGGCAGAGTCCGTGCGGGGCTGGTCAGGACAGGAGGAAATCTTGCAGGGGAAACTTGGCTTCGGGGTGTCATGGAGGAGGGATGTAAGGAGGCTGGAGCCGAGGACAAGATCTTTTTTTTTTCCCCCCTTCTTCCTTGCACCGTCTGGAGATACTTGAGCTTTTTCAAAAAACAGAGACGTCCTTGCTGCAGCCACCTCCTCCTCTCTCCTTTCTTTTCTTTCTTTCTTTCTTTCTTTTTTTTTTTTTTTTTTTGGTTAAATGCGGGTGATTGAGAGGGGAAATGCTGATGGGTGGGTCTGAAAGCAGCCTTAGGAACCCGAGGAAATAAAAACACATTTGAAGGACTCGGGAAGATTTTGCATTTCAAAGGGACTACCTTGTAGAATTTCACATCACGTCAGGGGTTATGGAGAAGTGTGACAGGCACCCCCTGCTTCGTTAACGGTCCTGCCCCTCTCCTGCTGTGGGGGCTGCAGGGGAAGCTGTCTTTTGCAGGGGGTGGGGTGGGGGCCTTTTGGCCAGACTGGGCAGGAATATCTCAGAAACAGCAGTGCTCCAAGGCATCTCTGGTCCCCAGAGGGACTTTTTCCATGGGGCTGCTCTCAGGAGGTAAGAGCAAATCATGCTGCTGAACAGCCCGTTTGACCCCACAATGCAGGGGCAGGCCGGCTCCTGACGGTTCTTGCTCTTTGCCTTCGCCCCTGAAACAAAGACACAGATTCTCCTTCCGCACTGGTATAATGTGGTTCCCAAGATTCAGGACCATGAAGAGTTGGGTGCAGCAGGCTTCAACTGAAATGGGTGTGGATTGTTCGAAGATTAATAGCAGTGCCTACTAGTTATTGAGGGCCCACCCTGGGCCAGGGGCTTTGCACACGCTCTCTAATTTTCAAAGCGTTCCTGTAGTTTCAGCTAAAGAAATGGAGCCTTGAGAGGCCAAGTAACTGGCCTAAGGCCACACAGCTGCTGGGCCGAGAGGCTAGCAGTTCTGAGAGCATGGTGGTTTTGTACACACGTGCTATTGATTGGCGGGTTCGAAAGGTAGAGGCGGTAGTTTCTGTTTTATCTCAAAGCATAAATTT